GTTAAAAACGTTTTTGATTCTGTGACGAGGGTAATTGTGTGGTACGTTGAGGGATACTTGCTCCAAAATTTGAGGGCAGTCTATGGAGTTACGAACAACTTTAAATAGTAACGAGACATCGCGAATAGTTCTACGCTGTTGCAAGTTCTGCATCCTGAAATACTCCAAACGATCTTTGTAAGGTGTTCTCAATTCGCTGAGAGGGCTGAGCGTAAAAGGGATTCCAAGCTACGCTCGAGAACTCCAAACAGCTACGCACGTATGAGTTGTAAAGCACAATTCTCGATAGGTACGACCGAAAGCTTTTTGTATTACGTCTGATGAAACCCAGTTGTTTTGCTGCTTTATTCACAATGGAGTCAACGTGTGGTTTAAAAGTTAGTTGGCTATCAATCAGAACACCTAAATCGCGTATTTCATTGACTTCCTGTAGTCCCATTCAAAGAGTATGTTGAGTTTATGGGTGTTTTTTTACGTGTATATTTAATGTAGAAACATTTCTTGACATTAAAATGCATTTGATTTAGGTCACACCATTCATTTATTCTATTAATATCAGCTTGCAGTAATTTGGAATCATTTATGTTGTCAATTTGTCGGTAAATCTTTAAATCATCGGCGAATAGCTTAAACTTACAATTTTGAATGTATTTAGTTAAATCATTAATAAAAACTGAAAATAAGATAGGTCCAAGATGCGACCCTTGAGGAACCCCCGACTCAGTATAATAAGTATCAGATTCAAACCCGTTTACAGTTACAACTTGTTTCCGTTTATATAGATACGAGCGGAACCATTTAAGGAGTGGCCCATGGATTCCCATGTATTCTAGCTTTACAAGCAGCAGCTTATGGTTTACCAAATCAAAAGCGCTGCTCTAATCAGTATAAACAGCGTCGACTTGTAATCCTTTGTCAACGACCTTGGCTAAGTCAGTTATAAGACTAACCAGATTAGTTTCGACAGCACATCTTTTCGGAAAGCCATGCTGGTGTTGAGAGAGAAGGGGGTTAAGATGATTCGAAACAATGGGACAGACGAGTGCCTCAAAAAGTTGAGCAAAACATGATAAGATTGATATAAGCCGGTAGTTAATTATTTCGTTTAAATTGCCCTTTTTGTGTATTGGTATTATTTTTGCTGCTTTCCACTCATCTGGAAACACCCCCAATGACAAGGACTTATTAATGATAATGGATAATGGCAGAGCAAGAGCAGATCCACAGCGTTTAACTAGTATGGGAGGGATGCCGTCTGGCCCAGGTCCCTTGTATATGTCTAGCTTCTTTATTTGTTTTAGCACTTCCCTCTCAGTGAAAAATATGCTGCTTACACCAGTAGCAGTACCAACATACCCATAAGATACGGTATTAATAAGCTTTGTGTTAGATTGTGAAACTGGAGAAGGGGGCAAACTGACTATTTTTGAAAACATTTCGGCAAACAGATTGGCTATCTCACAACCTGAGCGCCCTATTTTATCCTCCATACGCAGTTCAGCGGGAAATTCTGATCGAGTCTTTCGCTTGTCCTTTACATAACGCCAAAACCCTCCAGGATCATTCAATAGACTACTCTCCGTCTTGTACATATAATTCGAGTACAGAGAATTCAGCAGTTTGTGGCTTCGTTCTCTAAGGATTTTGAATTCTAATAGGTCTCTAGGGTTGTTATATACACGATATCGTTTTTTAATTTTTTCTTTAGCGGGTAATAACTTCAACAATGGTGTATTGAACCAGGCGGGGTATGCTTTCCTGTTAAACTTATGTTTTGGTACAAATTTTTCAATCAAACTAGTAATTTTTGAATTCAAGACAGAAATCATTTCATTTAAAGAGAGGTCTGCGGCAAATGTATAATTCCATTCAATCTGCTTGAGTTCATTTGAAATGCTAATAAAATTCACTTTAAAAAAGTTATGTTCTATTCGTGTATTGGGACGTAGATAGTTTGCTTCGCTCTCTGTTAAAGTTATTAAAATGGGTGGGTGTTTAGGGTCAACCTTACTTAATTGACATAATGGCTCCGATATGCTTACATCTGACACAGTGCTTATAACAAGATCAAGTATTCGATCATCCTCATTAGTTATGTTATTAAATTGTAACATATTGTTCACCGACAAAAAGTCGACCATGGCATTACCCAATAAATTGTTACAGTTGCTAACGTGCATGCGATTGTTACTTCTAGTACACAAGAGAGAAGGCAAGTTGAAGTCACCTAAAAGCACAACCTCATCAACCAGTTGGGTAATATTATTGGCATTTTCTAAAAATATATTAAGGGTGTTAAGAGAGACTGGTGGTGGGATATATACTGTGCCGACTGCCACTCTTTTGATATTCTTACCTACTCGTAGCAACAACCACCCAAATATCCTCGTAGCTTGCGGATTCCCAGGCTTGCTGGCGAGTTGATTTACAAGTGTATGAAACTACTATCAACACTCCACCTCCGTCTTTCTTTGAAGAGTTCAGGTAATTACGATCGCGTCTATGGATGACATAACGAGAATCAAATAGCTCTCCATCCAAGATACCAGAATTTAACCACGTTTCAGTAAAAGCTATAACATCGTATGAACAAAGTGAGGGGTATAAAAGCAAAGGCGCTTCAGTCACAAAATTCCTAGACTGAAAAAACCGCAAATTTCCACTGTGTCGTAATAAATTGTATTTTTTATCAGAATCCGATGTTGGTACATTCAATAGAATACATTAATCAAATAACAATAATCAAAACAAATAAAATATACATAAATTCTCTATAATTTAAGAAATAATGTAGGACTGAGGTGTTTTTGCATTTAAGCGTTGGACTAAAGCATGTTTGCTTTTCATTGCTTTGGATCGAAGCGAATTTGCATGACACTATTTAATTCGTCAAATGTCAATAAATGGCGGTACCGATTGCAAAATAAAACAATGTTTTACAAGATTATGAATTTAATTAATTTTGTTAACAAAATTAGTTACAAGTACTTAAAAACAGGACATCATATTGTATTTTAATTGGGTAAAGTCAGATGTGTAATGGAGTTCCCCTTTAACTTTTACCTTATTATCAATCCTACTTATAAAAAAACGCTTACTTTGCGCAAATTGAAAATGCCACTGACCAGGCAGTTTAATAATATCCTGTAGGGCAGATTTCCAGTCATAAACCATCTCCAAGTTGATAACAAGTATTTGTTAAAAATATTATGATATTCTTTAGGTTGTACAATCACTTCATGTCTTTTTCACTCTCTCTCAATGTTACTAAACACCCTGTCAGCGGGTAGGAAAGAATGACCTGGTATAGGAAAAACAAGTTCTATTTATTTTACAATACTGGGAGCATTACTTAACCAGACACAGCACATTCCGATAAAAATAGAATTTTTATTTTGAGCTCCGCAACCATCAGCTACCAGTCGCAAAGTTTGAATTCCATCAAAGCTCAAAGAATTCAACTTGTGATATACTGCTGAAGCAATTTCATTTGCTCCTTTCGTGTACCTATTTTCATTCCATGAGTACAAATTGACAGTATCCCGATTAAGATTCTTTCCTTTCACTGATAAAACAACTGTCTACTATAATAAGTTATTTGATCCGGTATTTTAGGCAGAACTTGGTTTTTTTACAGTCAAAAGAGAGTGTGAGCATTCCATCTTGTCGCTCATTTTATAATTCGTAGAATTTTTTAGCCTTACGTTTGTGAATTGTTTTTTCCATCATGTACTTTGCTTTAACTGATAAATTTTGTTCCCTTTTAATTTGTTCGTCCAGTTCAGTACATTTCGAGCAAACATCAGTTCTTGGGTTACAAAATCCTAAATTATAATGCGTATTAAAAATTCTTCGAAAATAACACTGTTTTACAGAATTCACTGCTTGTTTATTAAACATTTGCCACATTTTTTTAATGTTTAATGTCGAATCTAAATATTTCCTTTCGGTAGAAGACCGGCAATAGTGAGACTCTATACACTTAAAGGATTCAGAACTTACTATGAAAAGTAACTAATTCGCCATCTTAGAAATTTTGAAATGGCCGCCTCTGGTTGGTTGATTGTGATCGAGGCGGATTTGCTCCTAACAAATTTTGGATCGAAGCGGTTTTGCATCTAAACGCTACTTTCTAAGTGAATTTTATGTAAGATTGAGGTGGATTTGCATGGTGCCGATTATAATATATTTTTGCATTTTTTTATCGCTACGATTTGGTGTGCTCAGTGTAAAAAACAACATTTTTGGACTGAAGCGGTTTTGCTTCTATACCCCTCAAGTGACACATTATTAAGGATTCCAACAGTTTTAGTTCGCATAACTACCACGAACATTTTGATAATAAAAAGTAGCCATTGCAACTAATATAAACCTAAAAAATATTTGAAAAATTTATCCTCCGGATCGCAGACTGTTTGTTTGAAGCCCCGGTTTAAATGACTGCAGCTTTAACTCATGTAAGTGTAAAATGTAAAATGTAACTTTAAGCTTTAGTTATTCGGATATTATAAAAATATACAAAAGTTTGCATTCAAACGTGATGTCACGGCTCGAAATATCACTTGACTGATTGTTTGCGCGGGACAATTTATAATGGATTAATAAGAATATGTTTTTCCTGTATTAATAACACTTTGGAGAAAAATGAAACTGTTTAATATAAACGTAATAAAAGTTTTACAATATTTTCCCCAAAACAATCAAACAGCTAATTACTACGCAAATCAAGTTACTGGTAAAAATCATAGGGTATTTAAAATAGATGTTTCAGGTTGTACTATACCTACCCATTTAACGTAATCTTTATAACGAAATTAGAACAATAACGTAACCATTATACATTTACACACTACATTGTAATAATTAGTTCACTTAAGCAAATGCTGCATGAAACGGATTGCTGTTTGCCGATTCTCGTAACCAAGGCGACCGGTTTTCGCGGGAAGCCCACGTTTGGTATTAATGGTCTGTGGGTGGTAATTCTCTGTACAGTCAACACCACATTCGACCGCTGTGCACCGCGAGAAACGACCGCGCAAACTCGACGACAGCCTAGGCTGATCGAAAATTCGCGACTTTATGACTGTTAGATAAATAAAACTTGTCTGCTGCCAACACAAGATAATAGAAATATATTTTACTGGGGTAAGTAGAATTTACCATTATATTATCTAAATTTAACAACTGTTTATTTCGTCACAAACTTACCAAGTAAAGTTATACCTTAAAAATGTTTTTCGGCCTTCTGAAGTAGATTATTTGTCTTTGAAATTTTTGATAATTTACATTTCGTTAATATTCTGTTTTCTGTTCTTTTTTCAGTGTCGATTTAATATTATAATATTAAATTAAGCACTTAGTTTCTATTATTTAGTTCATACTACTTAACTATGCACGTTCGTAGAGAAGCGTATTTGGACAAAACAATTTTTATTACATAACGATGCGTTTATGGCTCTACGTCATTCCTCCCATTTAACATACAAAGGATGTGCTCACTATATTCGTCGTATAGATTCATATGATGTAAGAAGTAAAACTAACTACAGCAAAATAAATTTTATGGCTTTATAAACTTATTATTAATAATTAAAATATAACACATATTAAATGTTGACGGATTTCTGTAAAATTTTAATTTCTATCCATATTAAAACTATTAGAATGCGCATTAACTAAAAAAATGTATTTTTACTTTATTAGTGCGGTTAACTTACTCACAACTTAAATAACACGTCTTATTCATATTAAATTATAATTAGAAAACGCAGTGCTTTTATTTATGGGATTCAAATGAATTTAAAATTACAGTGCCTCAGGTAAACTCAAATTGAGATTACTGTTGTGCGAGTGATACAGAATAAGTTTGAATTCAAGATGCATACTATATTATGTGCCTATATCTATTTGTCGTGATACATTTAGTGCTAAAATAAAACTTGTTGATGTCCTAAGTATTCTTCAATATCTGTGCCACCTATCGATAAGTAAATACCGACGTCTAAAAAATATGTAATACAATGAGACAGATCATTCGTAAGGATACGTGTGAAGGTCGAAAGTGTTACATCAGAGATCCGATTTTTAAATAACCTTACTTTTGCGCTAAAACTTTTATCTTGGTCTTGTTTCTGGTGATATTCAAGACGTGATGATCTAAGTGAATGTATTTTTTGCTTATGGGCTAATCCTATAAGTACTGGGTGGATGATGTGCTATCGATTTTTATCAGGCTTCATACCAGCAACTGATGAAATTATGGCAGACTCGTTTTATAAATCGCTTAATATTCATAAGAACGATCCTAAAAAGGATATTTTTTTTATAACCTAAGAAGATTAAAAATGTAATAGCAAACAGAGTTAACTGACTATGCTACATTAGCTGTCTAAACGAATTACGTAGGTGTTATGATGATTTATGCAAAGTAAAACAGAGCAGGATTTGTATTCAATGTTTACATATCTGAATCACTTATATTTTTTGTTTTGTTTTTATGTTTGTGAATGATTTTTTTTTACAAAATTTGATCGATTTTTAAAGCTTTTTAAACATTCAAAAATATTTCTAATGAAAAATGCTTAAAAATCCACTTTCTCCCGGGCACTCGGAAATCGGACTCGAACCAAGGACCTTTCGCAATCCGGGCAACTGCTCTAACCACTGGGCTACCCAGAACCTAACAGGCTTCACGAATTTTTCAAGCACTTATTACTTTTTCGTTAGTACAGAGCGTTCTTTCATCAATCTTCAAGTAATCCACCCAAACAGCCGAAGGAAATATTTTTACAAATATTTTAAACTTTCCATTAAGATGAAAATTTGTTCTAATTATTATATTTGTTCAATTTTGCATCCACAATGCTATATTGAAAAATATTCTTAATTAAAATTGCATTTTTCAATATAGCATTGTGTATAAATTGATCAATAAAGATGCACATTTTATTAAACAAAATTAGTATGACAAATTATTTCGATTTCCCTGATATTGCAACAACATTTTATATTTTTACAATGGTTTCAAAATCATGCTGTTGAGCCTTTGGTCCCGGCTGCATCTACAGTCGTTAATACCTACCAATCAGGCTATTCATGGCTCATTCTCCCTATTCAATTTGATTCGATTCCATTTATAGGGAAGAATTAGGGAAGCTGTGGGGATATTAATACGCTGGTGAAGAAATATTTTTTCCATATTTAGAACTACGAAATGCCGAAGGTGCATGTAATAGTTAAACTAAATTAGGTATGTAATATACCTACCTAATGTATAGGTAAACGTATGATTATTTAAGTGTTTAACATCTACCTAATCATAAAAGAGTTTTTAATAATATTCGTATAATTAGAGGTTTAGCTATCTGTATAATGTTAATTGGTCTATCGACTTAAGGTAGAGGTTAAATTTTTTATTAAGTTTAAGCTTACTTCCGAGAATAGTTGGTTTTGATAGTAGGTACCGTTGCATCTTTATTTGCGTTGTTGACCTTAAAGTGAGTTCCTGTTTGCAACACCATTATTGCCCCAAACAGTCGATGACTACATCGCACCGCCAGGGTTATCGGTAAATGAGCTCAATTGACCAATACCTCTCAGATAACAATTGTTTGATTGATCATATCATAAGTGTTATGACCTGTCAAGGTATCGTTGCTCCATTGGAAAGAGATTTTTTTTTTACTATTTTATACTACTACCGGTGAAGGTCGCGGGAAGCCGCTGGATGCGGGAGTCGCAGGACCGATCACGTTAGAAATCTTTGGGGGAGGCCTACGCCCAGCAGTGGGCGTCTCTCGGTTGATATGATGATGATGATGATGGTGATGATGATGATTATATACTATACTATTATATTACTATTTTAATTATCATCTTCTTTAGAAGCACAAATTAGTTTAAATCTTATTAGTAAACTCAGTAGTTATTCAGTTTAGGGACAAGCATTTCTGAAAGTGGGAATGCCATTGACGCCTTAATTAACGACGGGTGATATTGCACCTGTTGAAAAGAACCGGTGAAGTAATTTATTCTCCTTATTTTATTTAATACAGTGACATCCAATTGTAAATTTCCGCAACAATATAAAAAAATAACAAAATTAGATAAGTCTTATATTAATCGATCAACTTGCGGCGTCGTACATGATCATCATCATCATCAGCCCTTTAACGTCCCCACTGCAGGGGTTTTGGCCTTCCTTATGGTTATGGTTAAGGTCGTACAAAAGTAAAAGAGGTATTCTAGAGACAGTTATTAATTAATTTTACATTTGCGCTCTACCCGCGGGACGGGGCTTCCGACCGATTCACGCGAGGCGGGCTATATGTGACCACCGTTGAATACATTTATCAGTCTGTAGGACACGATATACAAAAGAGTAAATATTTCTTAGATTACATGTAACGATAGAATAATTATAAAATGAATTAAAATTATAAGTATTTTTTTTTTTTTAGTCTAGAGAATCGCCATCATTGATATTTAAATGATACGTAATTTATAAACTTTAATATATTACTTATTCATCTCAATTTTCACATCGGTTATCATAATATAACAAATTGATTGTATTGTTTAGAAAAAAAAATAGCATGGAAAATATTTCGAAACCTGTCATTGAAATAATCAATAACTTGTGACCTAATTAAATGTAAGTTAATCGAGCATTTTATATGATAATGATAAAAATGTGAAGTTAAAAAGTGACCAAAAATAGTCCATGAGGTTGAATAATATATTTACGACATTAATTTTAAGGTTTAATTTTTAACTCTAGATGAATATTTGTTATTTAAATGTCACCATACTTTAGAGGAACTTTGGAAATCAGCAATAGCTTAAAGCAATGGAAATTATCCAGGTAATAATTACGTTATCGATTACTGCATTCAAAGAAGGATATTCGCGATTATTCGAGAAAGGCATTGGCCCAAATAGGAATACATTCATTTTTCACGACAACAGCGCCCTGCACCACCTGGCACTGAATCGGCTTTTCTTTTTATCGATGCCTCGTTGGGACTGCGGGACACAATTTTTTTTCAGTCTCTTAACCATGACAACCATTATAACGCAACGTTTGCTAGATACCTTAAGTATTTAAAAGGCTAATCATTTACTTTGTTAATGTAATCAATGAAATTTCGAGTATTGAGGGTTCAGTACAAAAATGGACACCTTATTTATAGGATCACTGGATCGTCTGTTCGTATACATATCAGTCGGCGACCGAAAGATGGTACAATATATATAATACATAAATTAATGAAATATGATCTCCTTTGAGGGGTAAATTAAAGGTGAATTAGAAATAATCCAGCAGCGTCGTTCGGCTGTTGATGATGATGAGATAACATGAGAACTAGAAACTTCCAAACATACGAGTAGTACTTAACTAAAAGACCTACTGTGTACCGTCCGCACACACGTTTAGGTAGTTAATGGATTACCAACTTCAATAGATTATTTTTTGAAGAAGTGTAATCCAATTTGGTTTAGTCTGATAATCTGAATCTGAAAAAATATATAACCATTAATATGCGATATATGGGATTACTTAACTTTCTTTGTGGTATCTTCTCTAACTAACACATTGAGATAACTATGCTCGTAATAACTAGAAAGTTCTACACATAGTAACTGCAAGACCTGCTGTGTACCGCCCGCACACACGTTTAGGAAGTTAATGGATTACCAACTTCAATAAATAATTTTTTGAAGAAGTGTAATCCAATTTGGTTTAGTTTGATAATCTGAATCTGAAAAAAATATATAACCAGCAATATGCCATCGATAGGATTACTTAACTTTCTTTGTGGTATCTTCTCTAACTAATACAATAAAAAAAAAGGAAATGACCTCAAATACTTAATTTTATCGGAAAATAACATTACATCGATTACGAAATTCCAGAAAAACCTTTAAGATCGGTCAGGTAATCCTATTAATATTATAAATGTGAAAGTTTCTTTGGACGTTTGTCCGTCAATCATGCGGAAATTACTGAACGGATTTTGATGAAATTACACAGATAAGGTATTAGTTGACTTAGATAATAAGATAATTTTAATCCCAGTAAACATTTCCCTAGGGACCATGCGGGCGAAGCCGCTAACGAAAGCTAGTATCAATTAACTACGAAAACGAAAGTAGGTATACCGATACTCAAATTCCCCGTTCGGGTTAAAAAATGTTCTTTGAATTCATTTCCCGAAACTTTTAGCATTGCCATTTTATAATCAGTCACCTTTTTATGAAACAGCCTTTCCGCGTGGTTAAGAATTTCTCTGCTTTGTGAACACGGAATATAGTGTGTAGGACGCTATTGGTGTGTGTAATAAATCTCTTTCCGTCATATACTGTGGGCGACCGATGAGGGCGGACCAATGAGTAATATAACAGGTTTTACTGTCATAATGAAGTAAAAACTTACTTAGTAAATTTGCTATGATAATTAAGAACAAAAAATATATGCAAGTGTAATGTTAGTGTATATTTGTAAGTTAAAAAATCAGCATTAATGTGTGTAATCCAATTCAACTCAATATCTTATATTCAATTATAGCTACAATGGAGAAACAATAGGTTCGTAAATCCATAACAACTGAGCAATGTTAACGTTAAAATTAACCTAAGACAGAATAATACAATAGACAAAAATAAAATCTATAATATTACCGAATGTGAAATATAATAGCAACAATTTTAATACAATTGAAGTTTATGAAAATTTATGTCAAAATAAAAGTAGGTAAAACAAAGCAACTCGTTTGCCTATAATTACAGAGTCCTTATTAAAATAAAACTTTACGGAAAAGGTGAAACAGCTTTCTACGATCAGATAGGTTGGTAGTTATTGGTTTCGCGAAACGAAACGATTAATTATTACATAGATGGTTGTGGAAGTACTGTGTCCACCTTGTATAGGCTTCTGACATATTAATATGATGACTCGTATTTTTTAAATCGAAGTGATCCAATCCTACCAATGACGTTTTCATGGACGTTCTACTAAACTCAATTTGCTTTTAATGATATTGTTTCACAATATTAAAAAATCATAAAATAATAGATAACTTAAGATGTAGCTACCAAAAAGAATTTAGTAGTAAAAGTGCATCAAGCAGATATGGGTTTCCTGTTGATTGTGACTAGTATTTTACGTTATCAATAGAACACATTTTTGTTTTTTTTAAGTGTTCAACATAATCTAATTTCAACTCAGTATTCGAGGTAAATAAAGAAGGTAAATTGAATAAGAATTTATGTTGTAAAAGATCTTTTATTCGAATACGGTAAATAAGTGAAAAAATATTGAGTAAAAGGATATTCTGATTTATTATCATACTGAAAGGATTTTCTGGTAATGGATGCTGAATTTTTTTTTGTAAATTATTTCTAGTATAAAACATAATTTATATTAATTATTCAGTAATAAAGAAAATACAACGCGAATATATTCTAGTGAGAACGCGACTATATAGATTGTTTTAAACTAAAACCTTAATCAGTACAATTGATGAGCCAAGTTTAGGACACGAAAGCCTTAACATACTGTTGGCAAAGAAACTTTGAACGTTTCATCATAATAATGTCAATTAATGTTAGCAGTTCAAACTTTGTGTGACCTGACGTTTCTGAGAATGCCACCACTGGGATAATAAAAACTATTTCTTTTTTTCATTTATTTGATATTTATGTAAGATACGTAAATAATTAATATCCTAGCTCTTGTTCTTATTTTACACACGTTTTCGCACAATTTCTTGTTTTGGCATAATCTCTTAAGACATATACTTTGGCATAATCGTGTCGGCATAATTGCTTTCAGCATAATAATACTTGTTATAATTGTTTTTTGATATACCTATTTTGGCACATTTAACTTTTAGGCTGTTTTTTTCACATAATTACAAGTTTTTAAATTTACGCTTTGATGTTGTTATATAGATGTTTAGGGAAATTACATTAAAAAAAAAATTCAAATATCGTTTATTTAATTAGGACATTTGAAAGTATGCCATGTCATAATTTAAACAATTGGATATGTAACCGCATGGGGAACCACCCGCTTCCTTAGGTTCGCATTGGTTCATCACTGGCCATGTTACACAGCTCAAAGGTACATTCGATTTAATACTGAGATTAAACACACCCATTGCAATATCAACACACCCAGTGATTTCCAATAGTTCTCTCAAAACATTGACAACAAAATTAATCTCTTTATGATGTAGTTATGTTTGATAAAATAACATATAATAAAGATAGTCAGAAATCATTACGTCATATCATTTAAGAATTTAAGTTTTTTTTATACAAAATCGTTTTCGTAATTATTTCAAATTCCCGTTTTATAGCGTTTCTGTCTAGAGCATGACGGAATAACTTTGTCGAGAGAATTACATGAATACTTAAAATAGAATTGTGATGCAATTGCTTACTTAATGAATACTTCGCTACAATTTCATTATATTTTGTTTTTTTTTTTATTATATTCGTAACAGGGAAAATGTATTAGTATTTTTCAAAAAGCTTAATAAGTAAACTTGAAAAAATAACTTACATCAAACCTCCATTCGGCCGATCCTTAACCGATTCTGACGAAACTTGCATTGTCCATAGTTAAAAAATGAAAAGGCAGTTGATCATGCCAACGCCTGCGCTTGTCAGATTTAGATCACCTTATGTGGTATTTCCAGATAACATTTAGCCCATCTCCGGTAGAGAGTAGGCCAGTGAATGTTTATTGTTTAGAATTGTGTTTTCTAGTCTATATTGACGGACTATGACCATATATTGCTGTTGAGGTGTTGATAGTTTATAGGACCAATTACTTTTATTCGGAGGGACTTTCTAAAGCCAATTGTTTTCCAGACTTTATGTAGAAAAATTCTAAATAAGAAACGAAAAGTGCAAAAACAAAAGTTTGTATTCGTAAAAAAACGAATAATAAAAATTAAAAAGACATTTTTGACATGTCATCAATGACATACACCCATAGAGAAAATTGTCCACATGTCGCTAAGTTTGTTATTGATTTATTTTCCAATTTATATTTTAAAATTTTAAAATAAGGAGGCTGGGATTGTATTAATCATTTTTGATAATTTATTTTTGGAAAGTTTTGAGTGTTTTACTAATTTATTATAATCATGAATCGGAAATCTTCTGCAAGTACAGAAAGATCAGTAAGGATAAATTGATATTTATGAAGTTTCAGATGTTTATTTACAAAGTTACGTTAATAAAAATCGTATTATTTGCTATGTAGGTGATTTTATTGTTATACACTATTGTGTATTGTAGATATTTAAAAATAAAGAACTGTCTTTTATTAAAGATAGTTTTATAAATATCTTTCTTTAATTATTAAGGAAATCTAGGTATACACATTAAGCACTATTTAAGTATGAATCGAAATATATAAAAAACTACAAGTTTTTGGCAGGGCATACTTCGAGTGACGAGAACATCATCGTCGCTGCCCAAGAAGCTCTACCATTGTGATTCACTAATGGGAGTTCGCCAGAATCCCTGGACACCTACTAAGAGACGGGGACCAATCGCTGCTGAGGCTTCTAGTCCAGGACCTGCTGTTGTGTCTCTACCAACCCTTATAGGTAATGTAACACATTATCTGAAAACTCTTTACAGTTATTCATTGGTTTTTAACGCTCGGGATGTAAAATACTTGATATTAAAGTTCCATGTTCCAAGTGGTCATTCGACTAAAGGACTGACTAGTTTTAACCTCTTCGAGTTTTCAACAATACTGACAATTTTTAAACAACATTAAGAGATATTCCTTGAATATATATTTTAATATAGCAGCAAATAAATAAAGTTATGACATCAGTCTACTTCTTTTTGTTGACAACCACATATCAGAATATGCTTTTAAAGGGTAATGTGATAACAAAACAATTTCATATTTTTAATAAGTTAACTCACAAGTGAAATGTTTTTTATGCAAGTATAAGATATGTATGTATGTATTATATAGAAGAATGACGATATGGATCTTTCGCCAATCAAAGTTTCGCCATTTTTATCTGCGTTGTCTAATTTCGTTGCGTTGTTAATTAATTTTGGATTTTGGAAATTTGTTTGATGTTGCCTAATTTTTTTTTTTTTATTTACTATCATATAATATTGTATTATGAAATATTTAAATTTACTATGGAGATATGATTAAAAAAAATACGGCACTAACAAGAAACCGTTTAAAATATGTGTAAATAAGAATTTTTACAAATAAACTCCGGTAAACCCACTGCGTATGTTTCTTCGACATCTTTTATGAATATTTTCTATTAGGTCATTTCTTCAATGTGTCGTTTCGTTTTGGTATTGTTCACGCGATCTCGCTGATGTCATCCGGAGGTTGTGAGATTATCGTTCGCACCGCAAATAGCGGCCCCGCTCGGTTTTGTTGGTACACAACGCGTGACATCATGTTATTTCAAGTAGAACAGCTCGCTAACAACTTTTTACACTTCGAAATAAATCAAATCAGTTTTGACCTTTCAATAGCACGCGCGTGCTTCATACCGGTTCAAATTTGTGTTTTCTTTTAGTTATAATAAATTCAAAGTGGCTAAACTCTTAAAATACGCAACATTTGTGACCATAAGTGTAATGAATCTCTTCCAATTATAGTAGCTTCTGTGAGTGTGGGCGAAACATTGACACTGTTCAAGGTGAGAAGCGTGGTCGAAATGTTCGATTCGCATTATAATGTGTTTCAGGACAATAGACCAATATTTAAATCCGCAATTCGTTCTGTAGCATGAACTAGCCGAAAGACTTGTACAAACTGTAATATATAGACGATGGTTGGATATTGCCACCTGAATCCATGTGATATAAAACCATATTATAGGTAATATTTTTATTTGAAATCATGTTTCTGTAATTTGTAATTTAATTTGGATCATTGGATCTGAAATAAATATTTATTATTATTATTAAATATACTTCGACGTAATTAAAAGAGTTCCCCATTTCCTTGTTTTATTGCAATACTGCACAAAGTTTGCATAGTCCTTGGAAACAAACTAATGACAAAATATTCAAATTGCAAGTGAAGAAATTTCAAACTTTGCAGGCAAACCGCCTCAAGAGTCACGTAAACCTCGGGCTCCCGCATTTACCTTCGGACAGAAACTCGACGCCTTCGCTAGCTCCAAAGCCGGCCCCGGACCCGCTTCCTACAATACAGAAGGAATGACAGCTAAAGGTGAGGATTAACACTACGACCTTGTATAATTTTGTTTCTCTTTTGTTGATGATGCAATTATACGTAGAATATAAATAGTAGCTAATTCATTATTCACACAAAAATATTTTGATGACGTTATGTGAAATTGTTTATATGGAAATAATTGTGATGACATCCTTAAAATTTTGCAAGTGTGCTTACGGAGACGAAATTTAAATAACTTATATTAGAATGAAAGAGTAAGAGTAAAACTATAGGACTAATATTATTAGTAAAAATTAAGACTTTTCTTAAATAAAATTCATTAGGAACTAACTACTCAAACTACTGATTTTTAATGGTTCTATAGGTAATGTTTGGTTAGATTGTTCAATTAATTAATCACCTTTATATTCCTTATACGACTGCTATTGTACCATTGAATGTTGATTTTGCAAATTGTCTATATACAATTTGTTCTAATTGTGATTTGAATTATGGTGATTGTTCTAACTGCCACACCCACAGCCCGTCGAGCTATCGGTGCGCATCAAGACGACAGCTGCAGACGTATCGTCTAATCGAATTTACTTGACTTGCCATAATAGACCCGTGGGTAGTCCATTATTGTGTCTTATAGAAGATAATTGAGAGCGTTTAGAGTTGAATTTGTGTTGCCATCACAAAAGTTCTACACTTTTTTCAGTCTATCGCGACTTTGATTTATTATCACTCTTTCATGTGTACTTTTACGTGAATGTGGATTTAGCAGAAAGCGCTTTCGTGATTCATTCTGTGACACTTGAGGGTTAAGTAGGTCAAGACTGTAGTATTATTTCCATAAATGATGTCGTATGCAGTGATTAATTTAACTTTGCACTTGTTTGTCTCTTATTTAATACACATGTAAATTTCTTACTCCCACGCTACCAAGGTTTTATTGATGACGGATTTTACTTATTCATGTTTATTGTTTCCTAACCTGTCTTATGTTTATAATATTATGTATATGAACGTAAGAAAAAGTTTAATTTATTATATTCGATCAAGTGTGCATTTACAATGTATTGGTATTTATCGCAAATATTATTTTTTATGATCCTTCTTTTTATAGAGCACTGTAATTTATTTAGAACAAATCGGTCGATTAAATTTACTTTATAGGAATCTGTGTGTACAATTAATAAAATAAAACAAACATAGTCAAATGTTAAACGTAATTCACTGGTTCGTATGATTAGTAAATACTCAAATATATATAAGTTTAAATATTTCTTGCGGCACGATCGCATCGTTGTAAGTTGTAATTTACTATCCTCTGACTGACGTTTCTTTTACTAGATCCAAATTCCAAATAGAGTAAAACTTATACGCCTACTCAACCGTTACTTTCACATCCTTTTATAGAAGAGTGTACCTAAAAAATCATGTGTTGTAAGCATGTTCTAAGACCTCGAGATTAACTTTAAGCGTATTCTTTCATACATGGTATATATTAGTTCGGCATCGACATTGATTCGTATTTATAGTATGTCTAGATGCATTGGATGTCTCCAAATAAGTCCGTGTGGATGAAGGTGATCGTCTGTGAGTCACTTGTGTAGGAGACTGGACCCTGATTGCTTGATCGTTCAATGTGGCTCAGTTGCGAATTTAACTCGTTGGGTGTACTGCACTGTACGCGAATAACAACTTGTCGAGGCACAAGTTTTGTGAATATATATCGTGTGTGGATTTTGAATACCAGTGGCCTCTTGAATATAAGTGGAGATGAAATTTTATTGAAGGTAGTGATTTTTATTTTATTTCACCCAATTATTTTTTGGGTAGTGAACAACCTATACTATATGTTTTGTTATATATTTTTATATCATAAGTTTATATAAATGTCCTAACGAATTCCCGAAAATTTCAAATTTCAAGAATGCATTTTTACGTAATCTTTATCAGTAAAAAGGGACCAAATTGTTATAGTAATCTAATGCAAATATAAAAAAAAAATATATGTATACAATGAAATGCCTTGTCATGCATTTGATGTTTCTCTTTTGATTATCCACCAAATGTAGAAAGACAGAATAATGTGATTTCTTATATTTACTAAATAAATAATTTCATTTTTGAATTAATATAAATATTTGATTCAATACATATTTACTCAATAAAAGCGATTTCTTTATTTTGCTTTTGCATATAACAGTACTTTTGAAGGTTAATTATAAATTGATTCAATATAAATGTTCATTTATTTGTTAAGCAATATAGAGGTACTTACTAATGCGATAGAATTATTCATTAAACAATATTGTTGGTTTGATATTGTTTATTTATAAAATATTCCATAGCTTATTGATAATTTTTTTATAGATTTTTAAAAGCATCGGTGATCATTCAAGCTTAATAAAGCTTGCTTGCGATAGCGTATTGTTTACGATATTGACTCAAGGTCTCCAGTTAATAATTATAATAATGTAATGTAGTTTAAAGGTTAATTTTTCTTGAATTGTTTGTAATAAAACGGGTAATGAGCATGAATGTGGAAGATACTATAAGGAGAGAAAAGAAAAGATATGTAGGTTGATTGTCGGTCAGTTGCACAAACGACCATTAAGGTTTAATAACGCCATTAAGATCTAATGGATGTTACATTTGTATGGGTAATGATGCTTTAAACTAATGAAAATTTAATGGACGTTTGTGCAACTAGCTGTGTATGAATGATATTGTGTAAGAAAGGAGCGAATGTTAACGACGGCTGATTTAAAGGTATGGAAGAAAAATATTTTTGGTAACTTTCGATTTTATTTTGAAAAAAAAAAGGAATCTGGAGCTTGTTAATAACCGGATTATAGTCGATATTCTACGATATTCTACGATTAGGACGTGCAGTTGGCCCGGCTGCATCTCTACACGGGCGATGGCCACCAATGCGAGTTGCCCCTACACCAGCTCCTTGCGACTACGAGCCAAACAAAGCGGTTAAGGTTGTTCTAGACCACGCACCCGCGTTCTCTATCGGGATTCGTGTCAGCCCACCACAACCCGGCGGGAAAACGCCAGGTGCAAATCATGTAGCTGATTGCTTCACATTAGCTAGTATGATGCATGACACGACATCAGACGAAATCTAGACGAGCAGACAAGCCAGTCGTAACCGTAATTGGACACCGTTCACCTTGGCATGAAGATTGTCATTTACGATAGATCACTTTAGTTAGATTGATAATAATAATAGATTGTAGCGTTGATTTTAAAACGTTTATTTGTCGTTGCATGTCATAGCTAGAAAAGTTTATCAAGTTTATCTGTCAAATAACTTATCTGTAACTTGCTAAGTATCATAAGTAGCAGGTCATGTCTGTTTCGTAAGTTATATGTAGTTGATAATATATGTAGGTATTCTTTAAATCATTTATCTGTTTGTAGCAAAATCGAGATGTTTGGTAACAATATTTTACATCTCACGTTTCACCGATTGCTGAGCATGCAAATTTATGGTATAGAGACACGTTAGAAATTCAACGTCATGACTATTACAATATGTTTTATTTTCTAAATCACTAATATTTTACACTCATTCATAGATTCTTATTACAATTTCTGATATTCCTCTATGGAACATCGTTGACAATTTTATATATACAGTTAGATTATTTTAAAACCTGATACTATGAGTGATAGTTCTATAGTTAAATTGATATAAGCGAAGCGTAGCATTCCACCACCCGCCTTCGAAGGCGGGTTGACAGTTGCGTTCATATAAGTCCGGAGGATAAATAAATAAAAAAAAAACTTTTTCAGCTCCCAACGTGTATTCCATGCCTCCTGTACTTGGTGAAGCCAAGGAAGGCAACAAGCGCGCAGCCCCAGCATTCAGCATCACGGGAAGAGGTAGAGCCGCGGAATCGAAATTACCAATGCCAGGTCCTGGTACTTATACACCTGATAAAGCAGCAGTGGCACTGACGAAGAGACCTCCAGCGTACACCATGGCACCTAGGAGAGAGGTCAAACCTCCTTCTGCAGCTGTCCCAGGCCCAGGGGTTTACTGCCCGGAAAAGGTATAGTTTTCTACATCATATTAAAGTATTACTAAAAATAGTGCATGAAATAAAAAATAATTACTATTTTTGATTTGCAGTCTTTAAGTCGATCATATTAACACATTTTTTCTGTTTTTTATACAGTAAACCATTTGTATACTATATTTTGAAGAAGTTTTATTAATAAATAACTTCGACAATATTTGCTGCTAATAAGCGTTTTTGTATCAGTGTGTGTGTGTATGATATCTAATCAGTCACGAAAAATATTTTATTTACTTTTTATAATATGTGTGACTATATTAAAATATTAACTTTAATATTATTTTAAAACTTAAAAACAGTAGCTATTTTGTCATATCACGTAAAATAATAAATGAGAAAAAGAAAAACTAAAATAATATCTTTATAAAATTTTTGAGTTGAAAATAGGTTCTTATTATTACGATATTTTAGTAGGTCATGCATTTAAGGTATTACATATAAAATCAAATATCTCAGATAGGTAGATGGCGAGATCCTTCTACAATTCTTTTCTAAAAAAAATCTGCTTTCGTAAGTCCTGTCCTGTCTAAAAATTAATTCGAATTCCATTCGTCATAACCATGTGTACAATCAACGGCATTAATTCTTGTTAACATTGCTTTATGATACATAGCAATTATGTTATAACGCTTATTAATATTGGGGTGGGCAACACAGGTGTGCGTGAATCTCCCATGGGCGCCGGCACATACCTTTGGCATCAGACATTCCCAGTTTTGTGGCCAGCCCGTCTACTATCCTGCACCCGAGGGCATCACTGCAATCTAACTTGTCCGTATCAAGCTTAATCATCTAACATCTACATTAATGTTATTATATCCGTGGTCATGTAATTATTTTTAAAAGTGTTTAAATAAATTTATTATTGCATATACTTAAATATTGTAAGTAAGATTGTGGTTGGTTAATGTATTGAATTTTCATGAAGCGTGTCTAATATCTTTTGCATGCGGCTTGTCTTATGCTACCTTCAAATATAAACGGTAATATATTCTATGTTCTTTAAGTATATACCTTAGAAGTAGTAAAAGGAGTTTCTTCTTTTATCATAATTAAATTTTTCTCCATATAGGTATTTATTAGATTACATAAAAAATACATGATTTAGTTTTATATTACTAACCCTATATTTGATAAAATATGACAATAAATAATAAAGCATTTTATATTTACAGAGCGATGTGATTAGTGAAAAATCACACAAGTATACTATCGCCAGTAAAATGAAGATGAAAAAGGTGGACCAATTACCAGCTCCTAATACCTACAACCCAGAAAAGGCAGACCGCTTTATGAGAGAGAAATCACCTGCATTTTCATTTAGAACAAAAACTGAGATACACAAAGTACATGATGCACCCGCTCCCAATATATATTCGCCAGAGAAGTCACTGCACTCATTAAAGAATGGTCCAAAGTATACCCTGGCAGGTAAAGGAGTTGCTGAAAAGCATGAAACTACTCCAGCACCTAATAGTTATAATCCTCAAAAAGCTGATAAGCTGCTACATGAGAGTTCTCCAGCGTATTCTATAAGGTCTAAAGAGATTGTGGAAAAAATAGAGCAAACTCCTGCTCCCAATGTTTATGCTCCTGAAAAGTCTATGCATATGTTAAATGGTGGACCACAGTTCACTATTTTAGGGAAAAGTGTCTGTTCTAAGATATTAGAAACACCAGCTCCTAATTCCTATGATCCACAAAAAGCTGACAAAATACTACATGAGAGTTCTCCAGCTTATACCTTTAGGGTAAAAGAGCAAACTGTGATGCGATGTGAGTCACCAGCGCCCAATGTTTATGCTCCTGAAAAGTCTATGCATATGTTAGATGGAGCGCCAAAGTTCACTATTAGCGGAAAAGGACCAACTGAAAAAATTCCTGACACCCCTGGGCCTAATGTTTACTGTCCAGATAAAGCTGATAAATTATTACACGAATCATCTCCAGCATATACATTTAGAATGAAGGATCAAGTGGTTAAAAGTAATGAAACTCCTGCTCCAAATGTTTATTCACCTGAAAAGTCAATACACATGTTAGATGGATCTCCAAAGTACACATTATCTGGTAAAGGGCCTTCTCCTAAATTTGATGATATTCCTGGTCCCAATGTATATTGCCCAGATAAAGCTGATAAACTTTTACATGAATCATCTCCTGCTTATACTTTTCGCCCTAAAACAATATTAGATAAACCAAATAATGTACCGGCACCAAATTCTTATGATCCACATTTGTTGGATGGAACTCCAAAATTTAGTCTGTATGGAAAAGGACCTGATTCAAAGCCATCAGATACTCCAGGTCCAAATGCTTATGAGCCTCATTTACTCGATGGAACACCAAAATATACGATTGCAGGAAAAGGTCAACCTGGAAAAATATCTGATGTGCCTGCTCCTAATGCATACAACCCACATTTACCAGATGGTACTCCGAAGTTTTCATTGAGTGGTAGAGGACCTGAAGGCAAACCATCAGATACTCCTGGCCCTTGTAGTTATGATCCTCATTTACCGAACAACTCTCCTAGATACACAATGTCAGGAAAGGGTCCGGATGGAAAAGTATCAGATATACCGGCTCCAAATGCATACGACCCTCGTTTATTAGATGGTACACCGAAGTACACTTTATCTGGAAAAGGACCATCCGGCAAACCCTGCGATACCCCAGGACCAAATGCTTACGATCCTCATTTACCTAATGGTACTCCCAAATTTACCATCAGTGGCAAAGGACCTGATTTCAAAATATCTGATGTTCCTGCTCCAAATGCTTATGATCCTCATATTCTTGATGGTACTCCAAAATATACAATTTCAGGTAAAGGTCACCCAAGTAAAATCGTTGATACACCAGGCCCTAATGCTTATTGTCCAGAAAAAGCAAATAAAATACTTCAAGAAAGTTCTCCTGCGTACACATTCAGTCCTAAACATCCAGATCACAAAACAGTAGATACACCCGCACCAAATGCTTATGATCCGGGCAAATATCATTATATGTTAGACGGAGTACCGAAATATAGCTTTGGTGTTAAACCTCCAGCTGAGAAACCTCATAATAATCCAGCTCCTAATGCATATAGTCCAGAAAAAGCCGATAATGTTCTTCATGAATCGTCACCCGCTTATACTTTTAGACCAAAAGTGACTAATGAAAAAATTGAAGCTACTCCAGGGCCTAATGTTTACAATCCAGAAAAGGCTGATAAGATTCTATTGGATAACGCTCCACGTTATTCCTTTAGGATAAAAACAAATCCCCATAAGCCAGACAATGTGCCCGCACCTAACAGTTATAATCCTGATAAAGCAGATAAAATATTGCTACATAATTCCCCGCAATATACGTTCAGAATAAAAACAGATAACTTAAAATTAGTCGATACACCAGGTACGTATTGATGATGATAGCTTGGATATTTGTTATAAATATTAAATCTATAATAAAGGGAAGCATTTGGCTTATAGTTAATTTTATAATACTTAATGTGGTAGAGATTTGAATGCAAACATGTAGAATAATTAAAAATCAGTGCTACAAAAATAGTTTAATGCCTATTGTCGCCACGAAGCTAACAAATTTGTCAATGTTTTTTGCAGCACCGAATTCTTACACGATACCAACGCCAGTAAAGACTCCTCTCTACACAATTTCGGGAAGACACAAAGATCCCATTGACGAGAGATTGAAAGTGCCGGCCCCGGGAAGCTATAATCCAGAAAAAGGATACAAGTTTGTGTTGACTTATTCGCCGCAGTATACTTTTGGGGTCAAAATTCACACTGATAAATATACACACACACCAGGTAATTACGAAAATTTGTATTGGTATTCCTTGTTTAATTGTTATATTATTTATATTTTTATAAAAGTTTTTCTTAATTTTACCTACATGCCCTGTATAATATTATGTTGAATGGTAAAATCCATGTCCAATAATAAGGCTCAAATCGTCCAAGATATTGTTGCAACGAAAATATTTAAGAATATCAGAATAGCTAGTTTTTCATTCCGATTCCGACTTGCACTTGGCCGTTTTAATGGATTTAATTATTTAACTCATTTTGAATACAGTATTTTCATTAGATTGAATGAGTTGCCTGTTCCAATTATGTTCTTAATTGGCTTTTTATCGCTATGATTAGTTTAAATTTAACAAAATATATTTTTCAATATTTATGATAACATATTGAAATTTTTACACTTTTTATAAAACTCTGACTTGAAAATAAATTCCAGCTCGTCGATTTTAAATTATGAAACTAAATGTTATTTTGCAGCTCCTAACACTTATCGTATACCTTCGGTGCTGGATACTCCAGTATATACGATATCCGGCCGCCACAAAGTTCCAGTAGATGACCGCGTGAGAGTCCCTGCGCCTGGCACTTACTCCCCTGAAAAGGTAATTAATCACTTTACTTGTTATAACGAAACTATAATCTTAAGTCAATGCAAATCAACTAATTTTCAAAAATCGCAAATACCTATAACTTTTCCATTTATGCAAACACTATGAAATATACGTACAAAGTAATTTTTGCTATTTTATGCTTACTACAGCGGAACTCTTCATGGTCGAGTCTGACTCACCACATTTTTTTTTCGTTGTCAAACTGCTTCATCCGAGTTACTCATCTACTGTAAATTTTATTTGTTTATTTTTTTTCTTTACTGGGAAGTAGGAGGATCCTCAAGTAGCTTTAATCTGTGGAAAGAAAGCACATAATATAATGTCTGAAAAGATCAATAAAGAATCCTTTAGACAAAGTTGGTTAACAAATTCAAGAAACTTTTTTGAATTCACGCGATGATTAGCAAACTAGGCTTTTAATTTTATAACCGCACAAGAAAATGAATTAAAACTAACGACAATTTTTAAATTACTTACAACATGTTAGTATAATGTCATTTTAATTTTTATCATTATAATTTTTCAGGTGCAACTCAGTAAGACACCGCAAATAACCTTCGGAATTAAACATTCGCCCTTATTGGGTCATCTCAAACCGATTCAACCTATAAGCTCTATTCAAAGAGAAATTAACCAGAAACAAACAATACACAATATATCACAGACTGCTCAGAAACAAGTGACTCAAGTAGATCAAGATAACAAAGCAGTAAGACAAAGTAACAACGAACAAAATGATGTTAACCAACAAATTATAAGAAATGAGTCGAATTCATTGGAATCTGTGCATAATACTAAAACGCAAGTTACTCAAGTGAGAGCAGAAAGCGAAATTAGAAGTACTACTGCAACACCGGAACCTGTTCAAGAAGTTCTTAGTCAAGATTTGGTTTGGGTTCCGGAACAGCCACTCCGCCGTGGCTCCTATACTATCGATAAAGACGATAGGTTCTCGGAACACTACTCCCATAACGAAGTTGTTCCTGTGGAGAATGGGTTAAAGATAGCTGCAGTCAGTGGGGAACGAGGTGCATCGTGTACTGAGGAGTCTGCTAATCATACCATTAAAAGACAAGGATTTGAACAAAATGTCCAAAAGAATGTTAAGAATGCTAGTGCTCATGAAAAATCTCAAGCTGTATCTGAAGAAGTGCGATCTGGAACAGAAGTAGAGAATCTTCCTAATGGTGGTTATGCTACGACTACAACTACGACTTCTATTAAACGAGTAGGAACAGCTGCAAGAAAAGCAAATAGTACGACCACTGTAACTCGTACTGCTACTGCAGTGACATCACGAGATATTGGAGTAAAGTAAATCAAAATAATAGGTTTACTAGGTGTCGCAGTTTGTTGAACTAATTATTACTAGGTACTAAGACTACTCATACCTCGCTTGTGAAAAATTTAACTGGACAAACGATTAGATTAATATTATTCTTTCTTCTCGAATCTCGAAACGAAAATACCATATTATTTATTTAGTTATAATATACTTTAATATGATGTTAAATATATTTTGATTATTTTATTAACTTTACTAATGTTAATTTCGATTTGAAATATTAATAAACGTTTATTTTTTATTTATTTACTTCTTTTATTGTTCTTTATTTTATTATTACAGAGAAGAAAAAAGATGACTTAATGAGAAAAATGTTATTTTATCGCTACATGCATTATCAAGTATAAAGTTGTAACAGTTAGAAGATAATTAAAAAATCGTACTATTTAAAATATGCTATGACAACACGTAATACCATCTACTATAGGTATACAAATTCCTTCTACTATTTTTTAGTAGGGAACTGATAATTGACTTCACAGTTTTATCTTTTGAGGTAAATGGGACGAAAGAGAATAGAATAGGGAAGCGGTGACAAAAATTTGCAGCATTCTTATATTTAATCGATAATGATAAGGAAATAGTAGCTAGGTGGCGTAATGGATAAGCGCCGCGGCCCGCGATCGTTGTCGTTAAGCAACTTTTACAAGGGTCGGTCACGGGATGGGTGACCAAAAAATTATTATCTCGAGCTACTCCGTGCTTCGGAAGGCACGTTGAGCCGTTGGTCCCGGCTGCATTTGCAGTCGTTAATACCCTCCAATCCGCATTGGGCCAGCGTGAAGGGGCATGGCCCATCCTTCTTAACCATCCATAAGGAAGGCCTGAGCCCCCGCAGTGAGGACGTAAAAGGACTGGTGATGATGATGATGATGAATCGGATACGACTTTGCATCTTTGTTACTTTATATAAATTGCATTACTATTACATGTCACTATTGCAATTAATTCTTTTCCCGTGGTGCTGTCATCTGTGGGATTATAGCTTAAGCTATTTTGTGAAACTTTCTAATATTTACGAATATTTTTGTCTTAAAAATGTTATAAACGCGCAAGTTTGTTGATTTGGATGTTTCTAACTGTTCGCGAAAAGTAATTGAATAGATTTTTAAATTTGGTGTATAGATGATTCTATGCCTGGATTGACATATAGGCTACTTTTATTGCTTCTAAATAGTTCCCTAGAGATTAAAGTTCCATTCAAACCTCATATAAATCATGCGTGCCATGAAGTCACTGGTGAAGAGTGACTCTAACAATTATTATTATAAAAGGTTTGATTGTTTGCATTGAAATTTAAAAGTATGGGGACGTAAAGAGTATATATTCAAAGGGGATTGATTTGAAAACATTTTTTTACCATCAGAATCCTGCATAGGAGATAGAATATATATATGTATTTTACTTTTGGGATTAGTATCAAAAATTCTATACCCGTGCAAAGCCGGAGTGGGCTGCTAGCTTATTATGATAAAGTGGCCTAGTGGATAGATGGCATGCATGACGATTTTAAAGTGTCGCAATTTCAGCTATCTTTGATTTTGAATTCCGTTAACAATTCAGAATGCATCTCACGTGTTACTTTATTCAAAAATAAATACAAGAAAAAGAACTGATTTGGTGAACAGAATTACTTTATTAAATTTAATAAAAATTATATTACCAATGTTTTTTCAAAATAGTAATACCACAAGTACCTATATAGCATATCAGTTGTTTTGTTTTAAAATTAGTTATTTTCAATGTATATTATCATTAATATGTTCCTATATTCATTGGAACGGATGCGATAATTTATGTTCATACCGGAAGCTTATAGCATGGGTACAGGATAAGGGCATTGAACTAAACTTCGCCTACACAGTACCAAATAAATCGATAAAAAAAAAATTGATTCTTGGAAATACCTTTATTGTTTGGTCTGTTGTTATAACTTATTTATCCGCATGCGCTTATCGCATAATTACAATTTTAAAATAGAATAATACAAGGAAAAGGGGAAACTAGGTGAGACGATACTGCATGGATAGCCAGTGGGATACGTAGAGACAGATGATAGATATATAGGCAGTAAATCGCATGTTTTATTGCATTCGTATTAAGCGTCATTTTTACTATTACTAAGATTCTACAGTTTGTTCGTCTGTCTTTCTGTCAGTAGGCAGTATCTTATAAATCGTGTTAGTAAGGCAGTTGAAAATTTCACAGACAATATATTTCTTTAGCCTCTATAAGAAGCATAATAAATGTTTACATTTCTATCAAAGAACTCAAGGTTATAGGAAGTTGTTTAGTTCTAAAGCTCAGTTCAATCGCTACAGGACTTTGTACTAATGATAATAGTATAAAATAAACATATATCAGAAATGTGCATTGAGTCAACATACTCCACGATTGCAGTCATGGTCGTGTCGATAATTTAACAATAACACGGGATGTTTGCGATATACTTGTTTTTACTTTTTTGTTACGCTGTTGACAAAGTTATCTGTTATTTTTTTGTAGACAGTAGGTAATTGTTTCCTGTAATTTTTATTGTATTTTTTTTCAATAATTTTAAGCTTGTTAGTTTTAAATATCTCATGTGTTCATAAGTTTTGAGACGAAATAAAAGTTGCGTAACTTATTTAATAATTAACTTATGTCTCTAAAATATTCAGTAACCATTAAATAGATAATAATCAACAACAAAATATATATTTTATTCAAAATAACCGCTCTTGTTTTTAATACAGGCCCTTAGACAAATTTGGCCAGTCATCAATGGCGGCACGAATCTTTTCTAGTGGAATTCGCTTTGCTTCTCAAACAAGGCTTCAGTGCCACCAAGTTTAGATTAGGTCTTTCGGCAGGCCCTGAGCTCTAATTCAGTCCATAAAAAATAATGCAGCGGGTTAAGATCGGGGCTGGTGGAGAGCCACTCGTCGAGTGGAGTCTGCATCGCGAGTTTCTTCAGATTGCGACATGGATTCGGCAATTCGTTGGATTCGTTCTCCGAGCGGCGCTGCACACACTGCACGTGTGTGTCATCGACTGCGTGTACGTCATCTTATTCTCGCTTGCTATAATTCATAAGCGGAAGCGATAGCGGTGCATATTATAAAGAGTTGGTCCAAGTGAATTTGATTTAAAATTGATAAATCTATGTCGGAATCGAACTTAGATCTCCTGCCTATAGATAATACTCCACCAAATTTTATACATTCGCGTATCAAATTTTATATAACAAGATCTCCAGTGATGTATTAGATTTGCCAATAAATCACTTTAAAAGTCATATTAAAAATTGTCTACAAAGTAAAGGATATTATACCGTTAAGGAATATCTAAATAACAAAAAGGCATGGTGTTCGATATTTTAATTTTATTGTATTTAACTTTCTAATATTTATTAAAAATGCCTTTTCAAAATTTCTAGAATAGACAATTGTAGAAATTTTGAAAAGGCATTTTTAAAAGATCAAGTTTATTAGATCGGATAGTCTAGTTTTTGTCACTTGAATGAACCTCTGAGCATAAAAGAATTAGTTGTTAAAAAAAAATAGTTTGACACGGCTTTGAATACATGTTTATAGGTACACCCGAGGACCGAGTGTTATGCTCAAAAGTTTTGTTGACCTTACTAACTCTAAATGTTCGTTGTTGAGTTTATTTTCAGCTAGTTCTACTTTTACATTAGGTAAAGTGAATTTTATACATTTGGTTTTTTTAGCATTCTTTGAAAATTATTAACTGTGAACCAAGATAACACTCGTGAGAGAGCATTGTTTTCATCGTCAAAATTATATTTATTCCTGTCAATATCAATGAAGTGTCATCTGCAAACAACACGATCTCACATAGGTTTTTAACAAAAAATGGTAAATCATTTATATATATTAAATATAAAAATGGGCCTAAGATAGAATCTTGGGGAACGCCTATTTTTACGTGAGACCCCGACGACTTCGCACCATTTATATCTACTCTTTGTGTTCTAGAACTAAGGTACGACAGCATTAGTTTTTGAGCAGCACCTTTTATACCATAATTATTCAGTTTAAATGACAGTGTCTGATGCTCAACACAATCTAATGCTTTGGATAGATTGCAAAAAACTCCAAGAGCGTTTTGCGATCCCTCCTATGCTTTATACGAGGGTCAAACTGAAAGTTCTTAGAAAATCAAAAACTGATTACATTAGCCAGTTATTAGTTTTATTATATCTTTTCAAAATATTGTCCATTCACGTCAATACACCGCTGCATGCGATGGAACCACTGGGAAAAGCACTTTGCCCACTCGTCCTTAGGGGTCTCTTCAATGGCATCGCGATACGCAGCCACCGCTTCTTCAGCATTCATAAACCGCTTTCCTTTAAGTTTTTCTTTAATTTTTGGAAATAAATAAAAATCACAAGGCGCGAGGTCGGGGCTATACGGCGGGTGACCCAGTAATTCAACGTTTGATGTCGCCAAATAGTCGATCGTTCGCTTGGCGGTGTGCGACGAGGCGTTGTCGTGGTGAAGGAGGATCCTACTGCGAGGTCGTTTCTCTCGAACTTTTTCCAAGACAAGTGGCAAACAATTGGTAGTGTACCATTCTGCAGAAACTGTTTTTTGATCCTCTAACACAATTGTTGCAAAATGACCTATCCTTCCAAAGAACGAGGCCACCATTTTTTTTCCCGCACTTCGATCTCTCTTCACTTTAGTTGGCAACTCCTCGAAAGGAAACACCCACTGAGCAGATTGTCTTTTGGTTTTAGGATCATAACAGTAAATCCAGCTTTCGTCACCTATTAGTATGTCGAACACAGCATTTGAGTCACCTCCGTTAAATCTTTCAATCATTTTACGACACCAATCCACACGATGGAGTTTTTGAGCCTCAGTCAAATTATGAGGTATCCACCGGGCGCAAAGCTTCCTGACCGCTAAATGTTCGTGGAGGATTTTGTGCACTTGACTCATACCGATGCCTAAGCTTGTCCGAATCTGTTGATAGGTCACTCTTTTGTCAGTCTCTATCATACGCCGCACAACACAGATGTTATCTTCAGTCGTCGCCGTTGAAGGCCGTCCCTCACGTAAATCATCAGTGAGATTAGTGCGACCACGTTTAAACTCATTAAACCAGTTGTAAACAGTCGCACGAGATGGGGCTTCATCGTGAAAGGCCAATCGTAGTCTATCATAACTTTCTTGTTGACTTAAATGACATCGAAAGTCATAAAAAATCATTACACGAAAATTTTCTCGTGTTAAATT